ATATACGCATTTCCGTTATCAAACAAAAAGAAAACAACTGCGTTTATTTTCAGATTATTTGTGCGTTAAATAAAGAGTATTTTTTGAAGTGTCATCACAGAGTAGTCGATTGTGCCAAGCTCTCATCCGACTGGTGGAAGAATATATTGCAGTAATATATCCCCGCTAACGACAAGCAATGGTCTTGGGTTTTTCCGAATCTGTTCAAACCTGTACGTCAACACTGCATATTGCTTTTGTACTTCTTTCCCATACCTGAGTGCGCAGCAACGATTTGGTTTGTTTCCCGCTTTCTATCATTCGGGCAGTGTTGGATCGTAAGATGGGAATAAACTGATTCAATTGAAGTCGTGAATGGATACTACGCACGATTAGCTAACCTATCACACATTCTTCAAAGTGGGATTTCGAATGCATGCTCATTTACGTAAATTTAAAAGATATAGGTCGTGCAGGGAAACGAGACATTTTTAAATAACATAATCTGCCCGAATAAATACATAAAGCAAATAATTCATTAACAAACGTGCATATATTTAATATACCATTTATGTTTTCAAAATCAAAATGACATAAATTTTCTGTTTGCTTTTTAAAGATGACATCGGAAATCGGTTCATTATCTAATAGCCTGTTATGAAAACTCTGGAATGTGCAATGTAGAAAAAATGGGGAATCGCAGTGATTTCTTTTTCAATGTTCTGCTTCAGTTCATGGATTCTTGCAGAACGTGTACGGTAGCCCTTGCCTTTATGATATCTTCACAGGAAGAAGTCGCACACACTAAAATAATGCCATGCAATGTCACCGTTTGGTAAAACAACGCGGGAAGTGGCTCCGTTCTGCTGAAAACACATGTTTTTTATGTTAAGATTAAGATCGGACAGTCTCAGTGTAAAGAATTTTTGATGCACATCAACGTATCGTTACTGTCATTGCACTTCCATCCCCACGTGCAAAAAAGTAAGGGACACTGGCACCATGATATGATACCGCACACCAAATTGTAACGTTGGCGCTGTATAATGGACGCTGGTGAAACTCATATGGGTTTTTCTATGCCCAGTAACGAATATTCTGTTTGTTCACAAATCCGTTGAGGAGGAAATGGACTACGTCTGATATCACTCTGTTACCAAGGAAATTGGCGTCCTTGATTTTAGCCAATGTTCTTCTGATTCTTGCAGAATCTGCAACTATTAGAAATGGAAGTGAAATTCGTGCAGTATTCTTTGTGTGCTACGTCGCTTAATCCCTAGCGAAAATGCATGCAGTCGATCGGAGCGGCGAGGACTTCTCTCGATGGCCACTCAAACAGCTGCATCGTTCTCTGGGGTGTCCGCCGTTGGAAAGCCGCATCAAGGATTATTTTCCAAGACAGAGCCTGTTCATTTAAAATTACACTTCAACGTTGTAATCGCATGCACAGATGGGACACGTCCGTAACATCCAAGCTGATAATGCTGTCAGATTATTCTCTGCGCGGCAGTCGCACTATCACAATTTTTGTAAAAAGCTCTCACTGCTGCAGCACGTTCCGCGCCAGTCCAATGATCTATGATTACTAAATGGTAATACATTCACAATTGCGAAAATGTCCAACGACTGCCTTCTCTACAGTGCTGCCAACTGTAACGTTAAAAATGTCATTAGGAAGCAGATCCAGTTTCACTTGATCCATTGAGCAATTGCTGTGATAGTCTTTGGTTTCGTTTCTGGGAATAAATATAGCTTCACTATGTGCACGTTTTTTGAGCTGTTTTGCTTGTTGCGCGATGAGTAGGATGGGGTGGAGCATTCTGATTTGGTCAGAATCATTATGCACTCAAATCTGTAGGTTCTTTGCTAATGCAAATATGACTTCGGTCACACGGGAGCAAAATTTCTACCTTTCAAATGTTGCCAACGACGCTCCTTAATACTTTCATTCGTGTTTCATTTAATAGCGTAATAAACGGTTAAAAATGAGAAAAATAAGGCTAAGAGGAAAATGATTTATACACCAAATTTCTACTGTTACACGGAGGAATTACAAATTTGTATGCTTATGTTTGAGGAGACGCATAGTTCACATTCCAGTTGCTGATTCTAGATAAATTGTGTGCGTTCAATCAGAGCGCTATTCGATTAATTCGATTGGAGATCGAAAATATTGTCAGAGAGTATAACACGATGCCCCCAAAGTTTTAGTGACTCTCATATCAAGTAAAGGAATTTTAGTACAGATACTCAATGACGGAGTGCAGTAACTGGCCAAGTTTGTATCTCGGCGTACTGAATTTAACAGGTTCAAATGGAAAATTATTAGTTATTTTGATTTCTATTACTGAAGCTTTTGTTTGTTTTGCAATTGTCGTTTTGGAGATGTTAATATACGTTACCAAAGGAGAAATTGTTGAATCAGCGGCAGGAAAAGTAGGAGAGTCGGAAGAAAACAAGCGGCGAATCCGCTTTTCCCTCTAAAAAATTCACATAGATCGACCGGCATTCCAGCCCCGGCTCTCGGAGTTGCAACAAATGCCCGTTGGCTTTCACTCAACGAGTGATGAATAAATAGATGAACGATGACGAGTGTGGTGCTCGCTGTAGAGCGGAATGCGGACGTGGGCACGGGCAACACTGACCCTGTCGAGCACCGCTAATTCCAGCTGGAATATCCGGAAGCCGAACCGCGGCCCCAGAGGTAGACGCCCGAGCGCAGTCCCGCCATTTCCTCACGGGTGGCTCGAGACGAAGGCTCGGGCGGCTGCGCGGCTGCCTTTCCTCCCGACAGCGAGCTGCGAGCGCGGCGGAGGGTGGCCTGGGATGGCGTGGGGGTACTGCGCCTTCGGCACGCCGGACCGGTGCGCCTTGCGCGCAACGGACGAGCGGCGCGGCGCGGGACGGCGAGGGCGGGGAGGCGCCGTCTCTGGCGGCCGGAGAAACAAGCCGGCGCCGGAGCGGGACAAGGGCCAAGCACCGAGGCGGAAGTGAGGCGAAGGTGGGGTGGCGCAATTGAAATGGGACCGAGTCGATGATGGAGATGGTGATGGATGTAAAACTTAAGTGTGGGGGCGGTGACCGTGCGCGTTACGGAGGCGGGGTTGCGGTGGCGGGGTAGAGGAGACGGTGGTGAGCGAGCGGGGTGCGGACGTAGAGCGAGGCGATGACGCGCCGCTTCGAGAAGCGGATGAGTCGGAAGTGGGAGTGGGGAGGAGCGAGGTGGCTCGAGGGAAAGAGGGAATGGATAACGGGTTGGGTGGAGCGGGTGGGCGGCGAGCTGAATGGGAAGGGGAGGGGGGGAAGTCCGCAGCGAACGGCGCGCCCGGCGAAGGGAAGCGCGGAGCGTAAGCGGGCCGCGGTGGAGCGGAGGCAGGCGGAGGGCGGGGCGGACGCGAGGCGCGCAGCAAGGCGGTCGGGAGCTCCTTTCGCGCTGTGATGATTATACATAGCGGATGCCGCGGGACGGCGCGGTCGCGCCGAAGTATTTAATGGGACGCTCTGAAGAACAACAGGAGACAAAGCGGCACCCCTAGAATGGAACGGGCGCGGCCGTCCCGACCCACCTCCCCTCCTCCCCGCCCCTCCCCCTCCTCCCCCTCGCCGGCAGAAAAGCGTTCGCGTGCCTCCCCGACTGACACCGCCGCGCCGCGCCGGCTGCAGGGATAGCCAAGGCCTTCGCCGGCCGGGGAAAATGCGCGCGCCGGTTTGATCCGTTGCAGTAGCCGGGCGGTTGCTTTTCTACGGGTTAAAGGAGACGTCCGCGGAACTCTGGGCGAAATCGTAGAGAAGTCGTGTACTTTTTCTGGCTATTAGATGGCCCGGAGTTTCACCGTGATTACTAAAATGTAGTAGTTTGAAAAATCTTAGGTAAAAGTGCTGTAGAAGGATAAATCATTTGATTACGTCCATTTTGTCAATCATGTGTTTATTCAATAGATTTCTCGGAGGTTAATTTCGATTATCATCAAAGCGTTTGCAATTTAACTTTTAGTAATGAAGTTAAACATTAATATTATGAAAGATATAGAGATTTTAAATCGCGAGAGATATTCATTGTCCGTATTTATCACTTTTTATACTTCTTGGTTATTCACTCATTGCGTCCACTGTGATCCAGAGGCCAATTAACTAATATCCATTAGTAACGGTATAAATTGCTGAGACATTAAAATCAGTACAAGGGAATTTTGCTATCGAGAATTTAGAATTCTCTATTCTTTTCGCAATTTTGAATATGACACTTGTAACTTCAAATCATGCCTTTCTTCGGGACACACGTTCTGACGCATTCAATAAAATTCTTACTTTGTCCTTGTTGAGGTTTAGATTCAATTCTGTTTTCTTACTCAAATCTCTTAATGATATCATGCACCATGCTTTTACTCATGAGTCAAAGATTTGTGATCTCTCTGCAGGAGCGTCCCTTTGCGTGGTAGAAAACCACCAGCTGCCTCTGCTCGAACGTCGAGTTCTTTACCTTGCGCCCCATTGTAAGAGGTGTTTCCAGGCGGAAATGTTTACAGCGACTACGTAGTTTGGTTGGACCTGTGTAGGCGATGGTGCGCTTATCGCGCTATCTGAAAGAGTGGCGAGGGGTTAACAGGACATTTCCCATTTCGTGTCCGAATATTTATGTATTCGTATTCTTCGTATTCTTGCATATTCACATATAATTCCGTGTTTAGGAAACGTATGGTGTGTATCAGAAACATTTTTTTTTGTATCATTCTCTTTCCTAATAATATAGATACAGTTCCTATGCATTTCCTCGCATGTAACTTTAGCGACGTGCGAAAAATTATAGTCAAACAAGAAACGCCTTTCGTATTTGTCGCTGTCCGAATATTAATGTGAGCCACTGTAGAACGTTTGGCATTAAAATTCTGTCAATTATTTTTTTCCCTTTTTCTTTCCAATTCATGATATTTTTACAACGTTATTTTCTATAGGTCGAAAAGATAAAATTATTTTTTAAATAGCTAACAGAAGCTTTAAATTTAATGGAAATCTGGTTTCAGGTATGCTGTTTGAAAAGAATAACAAAATTTAACAAGTAAAGTAATAACGGTCGCAAATACATTTCTTTTGTCATGAATTTTCACTCTGATGTAACCTCGGCGCTATTAGAGAGAGGTCGATGTTAATATGGAATGGGAACTCTGTTGTTGGAATGCAAAACCTACGGCCAGGTAAGCTCACATGTGATCGTGCGGTCTGTGGTTAATCTAAGCAAACCGCGATACGTCACATGATGACATTTTTAACTACAATACTTACTCTATAATTTTATGAAATAAGAACTTTTAGATACAGAAAATTATAATTATTATAAATTGATGTCAAAATTTGTATAGAAATAATACATTATTAGATACTATTTCAGAATACTAATTTAATTATTGGCGTAAGCAAATAATATTTGTGCTACAATGGCAGTAAATTTAAGAATGTGTAATTCATGTATCTTGTTGACTTAATAGTTCAGAATATGTTTTCTGTCTTCATGGACTGATACTATATATTTCTAATTAGCACACGGCCGTGTTTTACTATTCGAATTTAATTTTTGACGGCTTTTGAGAGTAAGTAGTATATTTGCATAGCACTGGAGAATTGCGAAAAGAATGGTGGTAGCAACCGCAGGCAGGAACAATGTTTACAGCCAGCGAATTTCAAATTAAGTGGTTAGGCGGCAGAGTGGTCATGATGTTATGCGTCTAACCACTTAAAATGAAGGTAATTTCAAATCAATTATAATTAATTTAACGAGTTTCATATGTACTATGCATTGCGACTGAAATTGCTTAATGGTCTGTTTACCAAAGAAGTTAATACTCATTAAAAGTAAATATCGTTGATTACTAGGGGAAATTATCAAACCAATTATTTAACAATGTATTTTGAAAATTATTCTGTCAATTTATTGTCAATCATTATTTGATCATTACCTACGCAAATAATGTGCTAGGTATTATAAATTATTGTAAAGTATATTGAGGGCCAATGCGCCTAAATGAAATACAATAAAATGACAAAGTACCGTTGTTGGATGAACGGCCAAATGGAATTTTGGGGTGAACATGAAGGGATGAGTATTCTCATAATACATAGAAAATTATTATAAAAGCAGACGCGAATTTAGTCTACCTAGTGTCACAGACAACATTAAATTTGTCATATCTGTACTACATTACTTATAGAAAACGACACCATTTATGAATTACATGCTTGTGGCGCCCCCGGCACATACTTTCATGTTGACATTTTGAATTTATGCTATGCAAGTTCATATTCAAAAGAAATTTTGAAAAACAGGTCAGGCAACTGGAACAAAGTGTTTAATGAAAATGTAGGTATCAATTGAAGTAATTTAAAAAATGTATGTATCATATAATTAGGTTTAATCATCAATCTTTCGAATAATATCCTAAGGATACAAGATATGCCAGAACGATTTTAATAATTTACAATATTACAACATTGTAGAACGCTCGAAATACTAAAAATCATGATATCAGCCAATCGATAGGGCCAATCGATTCATTTTGGCAAGAAGCATCGAATCAACAGGGGGCTTAAAATCCCCATAGCGTTCTTGGTGCTTAAAATGCCTCAATTCTCTTAAAATGTTCTCAGATAATCTAGAATATATGGTCAGTTCCACTTTAGTAAATATGAATGACAATTCATATACTCTGGATTATTTCTATGTAATTAAAAATAATTTTACATGTATATATGTTTATATTTGGATTGTAACATTTTCCTATAACTGTTTTTCAATAAAACTTCTATTTGCGTCTATAACTGCTTGAGTATGGAGACGGAGATATGACCGTTCCGTATTCAAGTTATTCTTCCATATTTCCAAATGAAGCGTCAATCTTGCAATCCCTAGTGTTGCAATGACAATGTATTTAACGAATTCTAATCAAGACTATGAGAAAACGAAAAAGTACAGTTTCATAACGTAATAATGTCTGATGTGTGTGGCAAATCCTAATTAAAAATTCAAATCGAAAATACTGGAATGGGGGCTGCTTTATTCTTCCGAGAACATTAGACATTTGAGATACTGCAATGTCAATGTTAGGCCCCATGACTGTTGGAGAAACTTTAAATAGTTTCCTTGGGGGAGTTTTCGTCTTTTGAGAAACGAGTGGAGACACGATGCTCCCCTCTCAGTCAACGTGTCACTTACGGCATGGACATTTACTGTAAATTTGGCCACAATTGAAATATTCTCGGAGACTGGCACGAACGAGCGAATGAGCGAGTAAGCGGTCGTTTCGTCGATTATCCTTCCCAGCAAAAGAATTTGGTTAGACAAATTCGGATTAGACTGACTGTTTCACTCCAGCGTTGTGTTGACGCGCGTTTGTCGCGCGTCGTAGATTAATTGACACTATCTTATGTGGAACGGCCAAATGGTCATGTAACGTTTCGCATAACATAGTGTTATTCTACGATGAAACGCTGGTATGCAGAGTTCCTTAGGTCATGAAAGAAGAAAATAGCTAACTCTTGAATTTAGTATCTTCAGAAAGCATTTGTCAAATTTAAGTAACGTCCGACGTGTAGCTGAGATCATGGCACGGCCGGTCAAACAGTAGAAACACTCGTGTTTAGAATAGTGAACTGGAGTATAGGATATATAGAATAGAGAACTGGGCTTAGATTAGTGAACTATCTCAGCAGTATCCCCATTGTATCTGCAGAATTAGTGACCGAGAGGTTATAGGGTTCAAATCCCAGCGGTAGAGGATTTTCTACACTATCCACATAGCTGGGTCGGATTCAACAACTGTCTTAAATTATTCTAGCGTCAGGCTATTTGTATTGGTAGTCTTTTGTGATTTCTCCTATCAATACCCTAATACCCAAACTCGGTGTACCTTGACAAACGGACGATCTTCCCTCCCGCATCCTTATTTCCTAATCTCCCTTTTCTCACACACATTTACCCTTACATGCCCTGCGCGCATCGGGAACTTGGAGCTTGTCCCGGTTGGGGTAGTGTGTTTCGGAAGTTTTCACACTAAAAATAATATTACATAAACGCTTACAAATATTTTCTTAATATTAAAAAATTACAAACATATAGTTTAAATATAAATCCACGCCTTCATAGAACGTACAGAAACAGTGAAAAGGAAAATGAAAACTTTGTACCACAAAGAACGTTGAACAAATTATGCTGAGCCACATCTTTTGACATCTCAACAAATGTCATTGTGATCGTTATAAACCTGTTCGTACAGCACAAATTCCACAACAATGTTTTTAGTCAGTAAATAATATGTCAATCAAGGCGAAACACAATTAAAACGCCAGCTAATATCTCTGTCGAAGTCTGCTCTTTTAAGTATTTGTGTTGGGCCTTCCTCTGTTCAGACACTTCGTCCATTTACTTGTAAAAGATTGCGCCATTCGTTTGGAAGATACGAGCGCTGAATCACGCGGCAATGCGTCTGAGGAGTGGGTTTTGCGACGTATGGAATGAGCACAATATTGGAAACACTGCACCACCGCAGTCTGCGACACAGCAATCAATAAATTTGTCGTCTGAAAAGGCGATTGTTTCGGCGGGAGACGCGAAGAGCGCGGTGGTGCGGCAAGGAGCCAGTGAAGGCAATGTAAAGGGGGAAGGAACAGAGCGGTGCGGCCTGGCGTCTCCATAATGCGTTTTGTTGGTGTTTCTGCTTAGGACGGTGTGTCAAGTGTTTTTGTGCCAGCCGCTCGTCGCAGTTTTCGTGTGGTCATGCTCGTTTCTCTCGCTGTGAATGGAAGCCCCCGAAATGTATTTAAAGTGAGGGAGGATACAGATTTGCTTGCCGGTGGAATGCAAAGTAGATTGCTGGATGTCATGATTCTTATTGTTCTACGTTTGTATTGCATCAACCTGCTTATGAACAATTTGTTATCGACCCGAGATCATAATTATCTTCCTTTATTTGCATTTTCCAAGTTCGTAAACGTATGACTATAGCAGAAGATAAAAATAGTGCTGCTACAGCATAAACATTCTCGTACCATTTGTAACGGGACGCAGTAGTTTAATACTAATTGAAGCTGTACAAGTTTTTCCAATCAGCACAAATATTTGTCCGAGCTTGGATTAGATCCAAGGCACATACTATCCTCGCATAACTAGACCATCTAGTGGTTAGTATCGTATAAACGCTCCCGACAAACCAAAATGAATGTTTGCAGTGGTCGAAATTTGAGTGGTTTTAATGTAAATCGTAAGTACACATTATTAAGTAAATATTTAAGTGAAAATGTAAAGAAAATATTAGGAAAAAATTAGGAGAAAACGTATGTTTTTTTATTTGTCCTAGTTTTAATAAATTTTAAATACATTTATGCTTTAAAAATAGAGTACGATAACAATCGATTTTTCAATGTTTCTAATCAATGTCAGTTGAAAAATAGAGCAAAATTACAGTGGTATCAATAAATGTATGGTTCCGATAAATGTGAAATAATATTTTTGTAAAATTGAAAAAAGATAGTTCTAACTTTTATGAAGCCTTTTGCGTGGCGCTCGTTCTATCACCAAGTCACAATATGACTGCTCGTCCTGTCACCATGATTACAGTATGATTGCTCGTCCTGTCACCATGATCGCAATGTGGGCTCTCGTCCTGTCACCAAGGTCACAATGCCACCGCACTTCCTGCCACCAAAATCGCAATATGAAAACGTGTCCTGTCACCAAGATAACGTTTCCAACGTACGGCAAGTCACCAACATTGCAACATGAGCGCTCGTCTTGTTACCAAGATGGTGACACAAAAGGAACGTTCCGTTATTTCTTCAGAAATTCAGGCATTTGAAATACTAGGATAAATATTTTCAGCGTTGAAATATATGAAGTAGAAGGCACATGATCGTGTCAATAATAAAGCACTCGAAATGACGCATCGCGGGCGATGTACGTAAATTGGATTATTTTTCATAAAATATTTTTATTACCATTCAGTTTTTAGCTTGTTGGTAATAATTGAAAATGAGTCACGAAATCACAAACTCCTATCTTCAAAACCAAAGACGTTACAAAGACAAAAAGAGCGCCAGGAGTCGAAATTATGTCTCTGGGCGATATAGTGTTAATCTACCTTTTATTGACATTTATGTTTCTAGTGTTTGCCATAATTACTGTTCCATATCATTTATAAACTGTTCCAATATTTTACGCAATCGGAAATTGTGATAGACATTATGCAAAGTATTATAATTAGTAAAACGTTTTTGATAAACAAGGTTACAAACGCTGCACAATGTCATGGAAATGCATTAATTAAATGACGAGAAATTTACTTCAGAAAAAATTTCAGTCGTGGAGTTATTTAAAAACTAAAGTACAAATCCCACTTTTTATTGACAAGACTTTGAATTCTATTTAATAAAATTATTTTCATCCCCGGCTATATACAGTTTAAAACATTAAAATGGACGCGTGTAAGATTGTGCGATGTAATGAACCACTAGGGAAATTAAATATAAATTTGTGTAACGCGAACTTCGTGTATTTGATGAAAGAATTAATGAGTCCTCAATTTAGGTTTGTAAATGAAAACTGCGGCATGATAAATTTAAAGTTAATTGTTCATTTTGGAAATTGAGTGAACGGTAACTAATATATTGATTATCATAACAAATAGGTCATATTATGAACGCAAATATTTTCATGAAATTTTCGACGCGAAGTAATCGATACCGCATTCTTTAACCCTGGCAAAAGCTGCGGGATTTGCAACAACTCCTGCTTTATTCGAGATGTACTGATATACTTCTATACTACTCTCAACTCGAGAAGTATTATTAGTGTTGTATAAAATTGAGTCGACACTTAAAAATACTTTCTTGTTTTTCCTAATGAAACTAATACGTGGTTGCTGAATATTTGAATGAATTGTTACGATATGTATTGTGTGTTATTAAGATATTAATGTACATCATTAATATTGTAACGATAAACTAGCGTTTTTCATGTCGAGGAGAAGTTCACTATTGAATATTCGCAATAAAAAAATTAACGAGGAAGTTACGATTCCAAAAAATGTTGGAGGATATTCATTGAAAAAAGATGCATTCATCTTTTTGCCTCTGCAGAAATTCTATCTGTACTCGAATTTTGTTTGCAAAATAATCGGAAGCTTGTAGAAACATAACTGCGTAAAACGCAAGCACCACGGGCTGGGCGCCGGGCGTTCGCTTCAGGAGAGACAAAACGCACCCCGTCCTATCGCGAGGCGGAACAAAGCAGAGAAGAAAATGGAATGAAAAAAAAGCAAAAAGATTGACGTGCAGTTTTAATGCACATAATAGGTATTCGCGGGAGCAGCCCGGTGTTTCCATTTCCTTCCGTACGTGACAACGCAGTGTGACGTAACCCGGGACCCATTCATTATTGGTAGAGGGTGGGCGGCGGCGAGGCGAAGGGAAAGCAAGGCGTAGCAAGGGTAGGGAAGGAGGCAGGGCGAGGCGAGGGTGAAGAATCGTAACGACGCAGAGCAATGGGTCACTTCGCGCGTGCAGTACTGGCGGCGAGGAATTGAGAGGGACAGTTGCTAGGGCATACCAGAGGGTTTGAGGTGGTCACGGGGAGGGCTCTCGTTATGACTGGAGATGATAATTATGTAGTTTTCAGCCTTCGCGGAACCGACGCTGGGCGCGGTGGCAATTCAACGCGGGCAAAGGGGCAAGGCAAAGGGGCTGTACCGACAGATCAGTGCGCCTTTACGGTGTACCATAGTCATTATATGGCAGCCAGTCATAGACGGGATGATGCTATGTCGTCTAGGTGCGAGGAGACAATAGACGGGAAACGAGGGTGGCGTCTCAAGATGGCATCCTGTCATCCAGCGGTGATAGATTGATTAGTGATTCCGAGCGCGTCAACTGCATAGATCGTGAGTCCCATAAGTGCAGTGCATGTGTTCACCGAGAAAAGTACTGGTGTTTCTTCCCACGCTGAGTGGTGAGATCCGGCGCCGAGCTACATGTCGACTTGCAGTTTTTCCCGTCCAGGTATCTCCTACCAGCACCCGACTGGTCTTTCTACATGTGTGGTAATGTAGTGCATGTAAGTGTAAATGTGTATAAGTATACGGTAAGGATAGGAAAAGAAAGGGAAGCTCGCGCACGGTCTGTGGTCCGTTTCTTAGGATTCTGGTCCGTCTTTCACCTGGTGTTGATCGGAAAAAACACAAAAACTTCCGATGAGATCAGCTGGACACTAGAATTCTTTTCCGGACAGTGGACGAATTCGATACTAGCTAGATCTGCCACAATCGGGACTAGAACTCTAGGGTCTCCTGAATAGAGGCACTGTAGTGACACCACTTGATGTCCTGAGTCCCTGAGCCGGTGCATCCCGCATTGAAGAGTGGAGTATCTCCGCTTGAAAAAACATCACCTCTCCCTCCCACGCTTTCGGGTTGGCTGTTTATCGGATGGATTCTAAAAAAGTCAAAATCCCAACGCAAAATGGTTCACATCTGTGAGATGTTTAAACGAAGCGGTGGTAGATGATACTTAAGTATTGATAACAATGGCGTGGTGTAATTGGTGATGTGGTTCCGTTGGTAGTAGACATAATTGTAAGAAAATGTTGATATTGATAATTTGCTGGAAAATCCTTCAGGTTGGAAAAAAAGATGTGCTAACTCGAGATGGAACTGTGTCGTATTCAAAAGCAGGGATTCCCAAACTTTTTCTTTCACCCTTTTAAAAGAATAGTTTGCTTAATCAACATCTTACATTCTTTTCAATAATTTACAGCACACAACACATCCTTAACACAAATGATACATAAAATATTTGAAGATAATTAAACAAAGAATATAAACTTGTTTCGGAGTGAAACATATTATATTTACGTGTTATTTAATTTTTTTGTTAATACTAATTTTTAATTGGTCAAATATAAATAAGTTTTCACGGCAAACTCACAGATTATAATTGCACAAATGTTCGATTTTCATTAACATGAATGAATCGACGAAATATGTTTCTTTCTCTCGTTTTTTCGTGGTCACTTCTTTCGCCTCGTGAAGATTAGTAAGCAACACCTGGTTAGAAATCGTGTGCAAGTAACTGAATTGTGTACACCACTGACATAATGTTTTGAAAGTAGCTCGTCAGCATTTACCAGCCATTCCAGAAATATGTTTCTGTATTCAAAAGAACATTTTAAACGACCGGAAGGGGACATTAGTTGTATGGCATGCGAGACCAGGGCCTTCGTTTTAATTTTATGGATGGTGGATTTTTGATTTTTTTTTTTTTTTGAATTGAGATAAATCCATAATTGGCTAACGCTGTTTCACCCTGTGTTTTCTTAAAACTTTTGTATGCTAAGAAACAGACACCGTCGCCTAAATATGCAAACTAAAAGGTTCACAACTTCATTTCTACTATTCACTTTTGCAATTCAACTATTAAAGTTTCCATTACTTGCTTTGATAATATTATCGTCGGCGGCTGTTGGCGAATATGGCATTCAAAATATGTTAGTGGCGTTGGCAGCTCAGTTAGTGAAGTCAAATTAGAAATTCGCAGCAATACATCTCATTTCGAAATAAGCATAATAAATGTGTCCAGTGTACGGAGATTAGAAAGAAAAACGTATTGCTACGGAACATCATTTCCCTTATTCCACACACGAAAAATT